TTATTTTTATTCAGCTTAGCTACAGCAGAGATTGCTTTGGCTACAGCGGTAGCTGGGTGCCTTTATCCATATTAGGGATTTCCTGGCACCTCATAAGTTATTACTTCTATGAGTCTCTTCTGGACGTTCTGTGTAAGGCTGGCAGCACACTATACGATTTTCAAATCTTAAATGATTTTAAAACCATGAGAGACCACAGACATGAAGACCATTTCAACCGATTTTTAGCCTTATAATCCTCTGAACACACACACTAGACGATTCGAGCAGACCGCGAGACCACACACTTGTTGATTGTAGGAACGATTGCACAGTGACACGAGATCTCACGGACACTCGCTTGATCAAACATGACTAGAGAAGAAAAACAAATAGAGGACAATCAACGTTGTCAGCTGGCAATGGAAAAACAAAGTATAGGAAAGAATATGGGTGATGTTCAGGAATGCAAATAGGGCTTAAAATCGGCCTTAAAATCGTCTAGTGTGCGACCAGCTTAAGAGCGTCCTCCGGCTTCGAGTATGAATGAAAAAGACACTGCATGAGAGTGTTTAAGCCTCGGTCCTGACTGCATTACTGTCTTTACTGGGTGTTTTTAGGGAATATTTGCATTTGTTCACATGCAATTGGATTAGTTACTCATGTGCTGGACTGTTATGATTTGGCTAATGCAGGACACTACTGAATGATGTGCATCAGAGGGGGTTTAGAAGTGGGTATACGCAATGCTCACTTATAAAGAAGTGGGTATAGGCCTACCTGTGCATACCCTGCACTACACCACTGATTTTGACTATTATAGAGAGAGTATTTATTGAGAGGAGGATTTGGAAGAAAAAAAATACAAGATGAAGATGATTCCCTTTTTTTCTTTTGTGTTTTTTTGGAGGGGGGAAAAGTGGGATCCTCTTCTTTTCCTCTCCTTCTCCTTCTTTTTCTACTTGCTGTTCTCAATATCCCAAAAAAAATCATAACATCATCTTCTTCTGCTTTTGTTTCGGCATGAATGTGTCTTTTCTCTGTCTAAATACTTGATTGTGATTGGCTGGAATGCTGAAATTAAAACATTGTTAATATTATTATTATTTTAGAATTAATTTCTTTGTGGAAATTCTTATTTTGTTTGTTTCATACTCCTGCTGTTTATTGTATGCTTTTTTAAAGAAAACACAAACACGTTTGCATATAAACACATCCTCATTCATTTGCTTATGTCCTCACCACATTTAGACCTTCAGGCTGAACTATATTTACATCTTTGACGTAAAACAGCAGGATAAACAGTGAATGTTGTTGTATTGCAGTCTTATTCATCTGTTTTATTGCAACAACAAGAAAATTACAGTATAACTGTGTCCCAATTCAAAGTCCACAAAGGCTGAAGTGTGCGTTGTTAAATGAGACGGTCTACAGAGGGTTTCCTGTTCCTGCCCACCGCTCCTGTCGCCTAGCAACTGCATGACAGCTGTCATCGGAACACAGCAGTGACGTTTCTGATAGACTTTTACATACAAAGATGGAGCCAGAAATGTAATTTTTTCCCCAGGTAAAATAAGTTTGACTAAACTATTGCCATGATCCTTACCTGTGTTCCCTTGTCTTGTACTCTTATTTCCCCAGTGTTTCTCTGTTCAGTGCCCCTGTTTGCCTACCTGCCTCGTTTGTTTCCATGGTTCCTCCTTGTTAGTTGTCTTGGTGATTGATTGATTATCTCCTCCCCCTTGTTACCTCTTTACCCTGTGTATTTAAACCCGTGTTTGCCCTGGTTCCTCGTCTAGTCTTGTTTCAGTTACTGGCTGTTTTGACAGGAGCGAGGAGCGGATTTTTTAAAAGTCGGAGCGTCGTTTAAAAGTCAGAGTACTCTACACTCCTAGAGCACTCCACCACCGCTCCATCACGAGTACAATTCATGCCAACAGCCTGTAACATAATGGCATATTAAGCAAGAATTCACATGTTAAACATTAGCTAGCTTGATAGAGATGGATCACTCAAATCAGAAAGAATGTGAAGGCTATGACGGCTATGGACATGAGCGGGAAGTTATAGTTCTCAAGGAATTAGTTTGTTTCTTCTAGATACTGAATATTTTCAGCTGAAAGCATGATTTAAACAAGTACTATAACACTTATTCACACGCAATCGCTCTCTCAATAATACATTCAAACAAATGTAATCTTACAGTGCTACTTCATCTGTATCCGATTTCGAATGAGCAGAAATCAGTAAGAAATGCATCGATCCGTACGTAAAATAACTGATGAAAACGTACTGTTATTTTCATCACAAACAAAATTTGCACCGCAAAAAGCAGCAATTATACCTTTTAATGCTGACAACCATGTTATTAGCTTGTCATATGGTAGGAAAAAAGTTTGAACACTAGTTAATGTTCTAATAAGCCACTTTGAAACTCTGCTGTTATTTTATTTTTGAATATAGGTTATGAAAAGAACTGTGATATTTCAAACATACTGAAATACTTTAGCCACGGAGCGGTGTTTCTGAGATCAGTGAGCGCGGAGTGGAATGGGAAATGGTGAACCCGGAGCGGAGTGATTATTAAATGCTTGGAGCGCTGTGGGAAAATTGTTGACGCTCCACTCCACTCACATACTCTGCCAGACACCACCACTCCAATGTGGCTTTTTGTTAATGACTGTTCTACTACAGGATTTAACACAGAGTAACAGCTCACTAGCAGTTACAAAAGCCACTGTAACAGTCTGTCACAGGCATTTCTAGTTGCATTTTTCATCAATGAATTTCTTAAATTATCCTTTGACTATGTTATGGCCCGCCATCTAGTGGCGAATTTTTTTTTTGGCCCAATGCCGACCCCTGCTTTAAAGGATGCAGCATCTGAATTGGGAAGCAGCTTATGTGTCCTTAATATGTCTGAATTATGATTTAAACCATGTTGGATTTTATAATTTAATGATCATTCTGATGTTGGGAAACAGTCAAGAGACGAGCTGATTGCACAGAAGTTTATTTGAGCTGCTGTTGTTGACATGTTCTTTTATGTTTAGCACACAATTATTGTAGATATTTTAAATATATATTTTATACCCAACCTTCACTCCTTTAAGAATAAACAATATTTCATTTAGCAGAGGCACATAATGTTGATACTAACTGATTCACATTCAAACAGTAATTTATAATCAGACATGATTAATATATAAATCTCAATATAAGAGAGAGAGAAGTATAGCTGCAACAACATACAGAGATCCTTACAAATAAAGAATTTAATAAACCTAATATCATACTCTTCAGTTACATGAACTATTTCATGATAAAATAGAGACCAGTATAAATCTATATCTAATGATGAGTGTATGATGCCCTTTGACCCCTCACAAAATTCAGTTAGCAATTCTTAAGTTAGTAAATGACACACACACACGTTTACTTAGCTATCTACATGGGGACATTAAATAGAATTATATTGTTTTTATATACAGATAGTTATAGATTTAACTTCTGCATTTTTACAATAAAAAAAATTATAAACACAAATGAGGACGTCCCCAAAGGGAGGTTTTTGGGAGATTTTTTCAGGTGTATCTAATTGTTTTTGGGTACATATTTGTCCCCAATATATAGTTACACACACACACATGTTGAAAGAGTTTTTAAATGCAAAACATACATTAACAGTTTACTGATGAATATACATGAACTATATAAACAAACATCTGAGGAAAACGTTTCTGCCTTTTTAACCCTCAGGTGCGACTGCCTGCTGAGACTGAAATTGTTAAAATTATTACTTTACAAAGTGACGAATGAAAATGAAGTTAAAGGAAGTGAACACACAAGCACTTGTTTTCTTACATGAAAGGTCTGTGTATCTTTCACTCTTAATATCTGCTGCAGATGAAGTTGAGTTTGTCAGTTTCAGGACGGCTGATCCAGCGCTGATCTCCTCCAGACTGAACTGCTCCAGATCTCACTGTGTGTTCACAGTCCTCCTCTGATGTGCCGTTCCCTGGAGCCCAGTTCTGATAGCACACCGTCTCTCCACTCACCCAGAACCAGATGCCCACAGTGCAGGAGTGACGTAAACCCAACCACACCGCCGCAGTAGACGCCCGTTTAACCACGTTCATCACCTCATGCTGCATCTCTTCTGAATGAACCGAGACCAGATCCACATGATTCTGTCTGCAGTATCTCAGAGCTTCAGACCACGTCAGATTCTCTCTGATCACAATCAGTTTATCTGGAAACCAAACAAACCACAAGCAGAAACTAGAGAGAGACTGATCAAAAACAACATGCAGAACAAACACTGTGGATGAATGTGTCATGTCAGACGTGTAGCGTGAACTTTAAGAGATCTGGAGGTGATGGATGGATTGTGTGTGTTTTGTGAGGATCTACTCACCTTCATGACACAAGAAAGGAAACTGGTCGTTGCAAGAGAGATCATGCCATTGTCCAAGAGGGTCATGTTTTACTGCTGTACAGTTTTCATTATTTTCATTAATGTTAGGTTGAGTAGGATCCCAGTATCTGAATGAGGAGTTACTCTGATCTGACCACTGCCATGAGTCTCTGACTCTGAACAGACCGATCCAGACATGTGATCCAGATGAGTTATTATCTTTAATGATCTTCTCAACCTGTTCACTCTCATCCTGGTTTCTCACACTGACCAGATCAGTGTGATTCTGTCTGCAGTAACTCTGAGCATCTCTCCAGTTCTTCAGCTGATTGATAAAGACGAGTCCTGTGTTCGCTTTAAGAAAAACAAGTGGACAATGATTCATGAATCAGTGTGTTCATTATTCTTACGCTGCTTTATGGTTTGGATGTGAACAGGAGCAGCGGTGGAAACATCAGAAACACGTCACTCAAAGATTCATGAATCAGTTTGTTCATTATTCTTATGCTGCTTCATGGTTTGGATGTGAACAGGAGCAGCGGTGGAAACATCAGAAACACGTCACTCAAAGATTCATGAATCAGTTTGTTCATTATTCTTATGCTGCTTCATGGTTTGGATGTGAACAGGAGCAGCGGTGGAAACATCAGAAACACGTCACTCAAAGATTCATGAATCAGTTTGTTCATTATTCTTATGCTGCTTCATGGTTTGGATGTGAACAGGAGCAGCGGTGGAAACATCAGAAACACGTCACTCAAAGATTCATGAATCAGTTTGTTCATTATTCTTATGCTGCTTCATGGTTTGGATGTGAACAGGAGCAGCGGTGGAAACATCAGAAACACGTCACTCAAAGATTCATGAATCAGTTTGTTCATTATTCTTATGCTGCTTCATGGTTTGGATGTGAACAGGAGCAGCGGTGGAAACATCAGAAACACGTCACTCAAAGATTCATGAATCAGTTTGTTCATTATTCTTATGCTGCTTCATGGTTTGGATGTGAACAGGAGCAGCGGTGGAAACATCAGAAACACGTCACTCAAAGATTCATGAATCAGTTTGTTCATTATTCTTATGCTGCTTCATGGTTTGGATGTGAACAGGAGCAGCGGTGGAAACATCAGAAACACGTCACTCAAAGATTCAAGCTGCTTCTACAGCTGGTGATATATTGAATGTTCACAATATTTTCAGGATTATTTTAAATATCTAACATGAAGTAACACTGGAGAACATTGTGATGATTTTAAAGCTCTCTCTATTTATCCATTATGAATACTTGATTCAGACACAAAGAGAAACGTCAAACAGAGGAAGATGTTACACTGCAGCTAAATATGCTATTAACTAATCCATAGAAACAATTACCTGGACTGTAGATTACTAATTTA